AATAAACACTTCCCGTGAAATTTCACTCCTATGTAGAATTTTTTCTAGAATCTTTCGTAATTTCGAGAAATGGGAAAATCTTAGTGAAAAACTACTTTATCCTAAGTTTTAATTTACAACTGCTAAATGATAAATTAATGATGCACACCTTCCTTTCAGTAGAAGGCCACAGAACAATTTTAAGTTTTCATGGGTTGAAATAAATTCAGTTTTTATATAAATTGATAAAACTTTGATTATTCTTTAAGAGTAAGAAGAGCAATGCCAGACTTAAAATTCAAAGAAATAATCTACATAATTTCTCGTAATTTTCAAGGATTCTTTATTTTTGTGTATTATATTTTTTAATCAAATAAAATTAAAGTTTTGTAACTTTTGTATTCTTTAAAAAAGCAGGTTTTAAACTTAATTTGTGGAAAAATTAATTGCACGCAAGATTTTGCTTAAACATGTAAATTTTTAAATATTTGAATTAATTTCGAACAAGTTTTAACTAAAGATAATTTTCTTTTAAAACAAAGTCGGAATTTATATGATTTAAATATAATTTCAGATTTTTTTACTTTAAATTTTTTTACTATTACCGAATATTAATATCTTTTTTTTTATTGTTACCGAATTATTGAAGCTTACACGAAATTTCTTACGGTTATTATACGTAATATTTTGCATCCCTAATAAAATTACAACTATAAGAAAATTAGTTCTGCCCTAACAGGAAATTAAGTTTGACATTTGAACCCTAATCGTCTTTATTTATGAATATCCTCTTTCTCAAATCGTGGTACGCTGAAACTATCATTTTAGATTCAAATTGTGAAGTAATATTCAACAATACAAATACAAAAAAAAATCAAATTAATCAGTTTTAGAGGTTGCCTTTAAGTCAAGGATTTCAAGTCAATTTATGTTTGAATACTGCTGACATTCAAAATTAGTTGGATTTGAACTTTTACCACAAGCTCATTATGGTTGGAAAAACAAATTTGCAATCTAATCTATTCGTAAAACGGGTTAGAGTGCACCAAGGTTAAAAAACAATAAGATGTTTTTACAAAGCTATAAAACAATTTTGAAATTGAGAACTAATTCTGCAATAGTACACAGATGGGTTGTAGGGGAAAAACTATAAAAAGCATCACAAGGAGTTACGAGATCACACGTAGTCTAAACATTATGAAGACATTTTTCTACCATTGAGAAAAACATTTTCCAGCATTTTCTCAAAAAGTATAACCTAAATTTTAAAAAAAATATCTATTTTATTAGAAGGAGTTAGGCTACTTTAGAAGCGGAACAAAATTGCGGATGTACAATTTTTGAGGAACATATATTTTTAAAAGGGTACAGTCGAATACACAGCACATAAAATTTTAAAGTTAGAATTAAAAAATACATTATTCGGATTATAATATGCAAATAGCTACAGAAATGCGTAGGAATTAATTAAACCAATTTCTGTAAATAAGCGTTTTTCTTTTAAACTTCATAAGTTCAGATATTAAATCGCTCGAAACTGATAACTGAGACTAAAATGTCCTTACAGAAGTCACTTCTGTAATCGAAATACATAGTTTTAACTGTACAGTTTGTATCTGAAGTCAATCACTGAAGCTTTGTAAGTTATTTATATAGAGAAGAACTTTAAAAATGTGGGTTCGAGAACATGGACATCACAATAGTTCTCAAAATTTCACACGAAAGATTAAAAAAAATTTACGTTGTAGAAAATACAGGAAAAAAATTTATTTTTTTAATTTTAAAGAATTTAAATTAATAGCTCACGAAAATTTTCGTTATTAGTCTGAAATATTGAGGGGGACATTTAGAGATTTCTAATCACCTTCCCCCCCAATTAAAGTATTTCAGAAAAAATCTTTTGCTCTTAAGCATATCTTTAAACTTAATAAAGTCAAATATAAATACATATAAATAGAAAATTTATTGAAAAAGATAAAAATTCAATTTCTCAAACAATCGTTGAAAGCATATCGCAAGTAAATTAACTAAATTAGTGATTTCTNTTTCAGGGGTCTGTCTAGGTTTTTCTGAGAGGTACCTATTTTGTGAAAATTTAGACATAATTTGTGAAAAATTAAAAACTATATTTAAAAATCAACACAAAAATATGGATTTATCGCTTCTTAAGGGATACAAAAATAAAATTTTAAGAAAAAGTATTTTGTGAAATTTCCTAAAATTGAATTTGTAAACTACCGTTTTTCCTAAAGTTGAATTTGTGAAGGTACCGCTAAACGGTAGTAAATTCGGCCTGGACAGACCCCTGACTATAGCCCAATTTTTTGATGGGGACGAAATTAAATTGCAGTCACAATAGCTCTCAAAATTTCACACTCAAGATAAAAAAAAAAAAAAAATTAAAAAAATTACTATGTACAAAATACAGGGGAAAAATTTTATTTTTTTAACTTTAAAGAATTTAAATCACTAGTTCACGAAAATTTTCGTTATTAGTCTGAATACTGAGGAGGACATTTAGAGATTTCTAATCACCTCCCTCCGTTTAAAGTATTTCAGGAAAAATCTTTTGCAGTATACTATCAGCTTCAGCATATCTTTAAACTTAATAAAGTCAATATATAAATATAAAATTTATAGAAAAGGATAAAAATTCAATTTCTCAAACAATAGTTGAAAGCAAAACGCAAGTAAATTAACAAAATTAGTTATTTCGACTTATATGGTTTATTTTTGGAAGAAAATACAGAATGCGTGCAATGATAAGTATCAGTTAAAAGAAAAGATAATTCAAAAAGTCTAAAAGCAGGAAACCGTTATAAACAAAATAAATTTAGATTTCAATAGTAGCTGCTTTTTAACGATTAAGAATACGATAACTATGTTTCTGTACTAAGAATATGGATTCAGTGAAGCTTATCTTTCCGCCCGACTGAATTAGCTAAAAAAAATAAATTATTTCTCTATCATTTTTAAAAATTATTTCTTGTTAACCTTTTAATACCCGAACTCTAAGAAATCGGTATCTTTAGTTTTTTTCAACTAATTTAAACTTCGACAATTTGTGATCAGATTAACCGTGGGGGCAAATTTAAAGCACTGTGGACAAATAATAATTAAAATAATTGAGTATTATAGTTAAAAGGTTGACATTTTTATATTTAAATGTTCCTTGGTATTTTTTTCTTTGATAGGTACTTTACAATTCCTAGAGTTTTCATTAGATAGTAGCACAATACACAGAATAATATACTATTGCCTACATGGAAACTGCAGGTTTTTTTTTTTTTAAAAAAACTTAAAACGCTCTTCTAAGCACCTTTAAGATGTGGCTTGTCATTATACTGCCGTAACCCATACAATTAATCGTCGTAGACGCAAAAAAAAATTCATAAAATTAATAAAATTTTAAAAATTAATAAAACCATTAATAAAAAATTTATAAAACCGTTTCAAAATATTAAAAATGAGTTAACTTTAAATACATCTAACATCTTCAAATGAAAATTATAAAAGCTGGAAAAACAACATTATGATACAAGAGAACACGGTGATGAAGATTAATAACTCAAGGCTGTAAAATATGTGACAAATAACACAATTTGATCTGTCTTAATTTTTAAATCACCCATTCATTCATATATAATCGTAAACACGATACAAATTACGCAATTTTCGCTATCATTTTCTTGGGAGAAATTTTCTGTAGGAAATATCGCTGTTCTCAAGGTCGAATTCTTAACAGGGTTGGATACTATCAAGTATTTTTTTTGGTTTGTTTTTTATAGAACAAATAAAACTAACACCATGTGCTTAAAATATCAACAGAATTTTGATTAGAATTTGCATAAAGAGAAAGAAATTCCATTAAATTAGCAATAAATTAACAGATGGTAATTCAGATTAAAAATTTGAGATTTCATTAGTTTCATCTGACATACCGATAATTCCGCTGTAATTTTAGTTGAACAAAGATCAGTATTTTTCACTTAATTTTTATTGTTCTAGGATAAAAAACACATTCAGCAGTTTGTCTTGGGATTAAAAGTAGAATTTAATATATATTTAATTGATTAGGTGAAGAGATTAAAGGAAGGTACAGTAAAATTTCAGACGATTATTAAAAAAAATAATAATAAATAAAATAAATAAATAAAAAAACTGACGTACAAAAGATTAAGGAATAATGACGAAAAGGGAAAAAAAAGAAAGGAAAATTGTGATCGGGGATCTACCATACAAAAATGTATTTAAATTAAAGGCAACTTTATAATAACTATATAAATTGACTTAAAAAGAGTAAAAACGAAAATACCGCACTTGTTTACAAAAACAAACCAGCATTATGAGTAAAAATAATAAAAGAACAAACAGCATTTTCTGAAAAATTAATGAATTTGATTTTTCAGGATACAATTTTATATACGCTAACAGAGACTCCCACCTTTTTTAGAGAAAAAGACAAACAAAAAATATATTCAATTTTTTATCGTATTTAATTCGTTTGCGAGTAAAACTTTAATCAGTTATAATTCATTAAGTTACATTATGAGTATACACAGAATATAAAATTGAAAAAGTTTTTGAAAATCTGAATTATAAAACATTTCTTTAGCAAAATACAAGTTTTAATCTTAAAATTGTATTCGTAATTTTAAAATGTAAACAAAAATACATTCAAACAAAAAGCTCATTAAATCTTAAATTTGCACAAATATACTGCAATTTAAATTACAAATTTAAAAATTTATTAATTCTTTAACAGCTTAAAAGCGAGGAGAAAATTAGAACAATATGATAAAAAAATAAACTTTTAGAATAATTTTCTTAATAATTATTCGAATTTGTTTTTATTATAAAATTGTTTACAATATTTCATAAACGAACTTAAAAGTCAAATCACATGGAGAAAGTTAAATATAATATTTCAAAATGAAATATGAACGAGGCATTTTCCTTTCTAAAATTACGTAAATTTTTTTGCAAATAATCGAACAATAAAAACATGAAAATTCACTTACTTTTTGAAAATACTTTCATATTCTCTAATTTCTTTTAAAGTAAATTCTTTAAATTCTGTGTAAGGATTGAAATACTTTTTCTTCAGAGGCAGTTGTGATATATCACCGTTCTTTTCGTTGTTTAAAATTTGCCGCTGCGTTAAAATCGCAGACAATTCCGAATCGGCCATTCCAAATTATTATTTACAAGACAATCTATCACAGGAGTCAAAAATAAAAACTAAGGATATAATCACACGCCGTTCTGCTATCAAGCCGTTCCAATTATAAAATAGCGCGTTCTACGAACAGCTGACCTGTTTAAATATGGAAGAAAGAATAACATTTATCAATCGACTTATTCTTAACCAATCAACTGCAGCTTAATGCTTCCGAAAAAGAATTTTCCCTACTCGGTCATACATTAATTCCCTTTTGAAAAGAATTTTTCCCTATGATTCCGGAAATATGACGAAGAAAAGGTCGGAAATATTTATTTTTCCGTTCTTTCGCTTCGTTAATAAATTAGACATTTCACTTTGCAGTTCTTGACATTCTCATTCAAATATTTCACGATGTTTTAAAATAGTTTTAGAAATTTCTCAAGAATTCAAACATGTTGTTTTTATTTATTAAGGGTCTTTGATCTTGTTCAATGCCGACGCAACACAAATCCTTATATTAGATACTATAGTTTCAGGAAGAAAAAAAAAATTTATTTTGCCTTTATATCTGAAATTTAAAATTAAGTTTTGATTTAATTGAATGCTTTTAATAAATTTTAAAATTTCTGAAGAAAATTCTACGCATTCATTTAAGTAAATGTTTGAAAAACTATAATTATATATCTATTCAATATATTCATTTAAATAAATATTTAAAAGAAAAATATATATTTTTAAATAAATCTTTGAACATGCATTTTTAATTTATATCGATTGAAGATAATTTTCTCACAAATCTATATATTCAAAAATTGTTTCTTTATTTTCTTCTTTTTTTTTTGACACGAATTAGTATTTTAAAATTTTTAAATTTCAATGTTTTTTTCCTCTCTTTTTTTTGAGTTTAATAAAATTAGTTATTTAAATACATATAAAATGTTCTATTTATATGTATTTCTTATTTATATGAATTTCTTATTTAGATGCATTTCTTATTAATATTATCAAAAGTTTTTTTTTTCATTTTTTTTAAATAATCTTTGATTATAAAGCAGAGAAACTGTCACTGACCGCATTCAAGGCCTGCAAGTTGTACCAGTAACCAGAGCTATGAGTCAGCAGTTGAAATATCCGACTTGAACTTTTCTGGAATCTCAATTTCGATTCTAATTCCTACTTATATTTGGAAAAAAAATTACCGTGTCCCTCGAAATCATTATCATTAGTAAATCAATATCATTAGTAAATGATTGTTAGATATTTCTACTTTTAAATGTACGATTAAAGTTAAGTATTTTCATATTTTAATTGTAATTACAATTCATATTATATCATAATAATTAAAGAAATAAATTTTAAAAACTGTGTTTTTACAAAATATTGAAACTGTGCTAAACGATTATTAAAAAAAGTGCTAGCTACCAATGTTTCCCAAACACACTCTCAAGTGTGCATCTCGGGAAGATTCTGTACTGAACATTCATTAATTAGAAAACTATTACAAATGGTATATAATTCATTTGTATTACCATTTTACTAAACTTTTCAATTAATCTGAATAAATTTAGTTTTTGGATTCATGAATCAAAAATTATCTTATTAATAATTCCTCTATTATAATCGTTTTTTCAAAAGTTAAAAGTTTTTAATCAATATGTATCGCCGATCAACTGCCCTAAAAAATGCTTTCCTTTTTTTTCCTTTTTAATTAGTAAGGCCTAGCTTTTAACGAACCGAAATCGGAATGTGGCAAATTTTTTTAGCTCAGACTCCGATAAAATTTTCTTTAACTCTGACTCCGCAGTCTTCTCCTTAACCTAAACCCCGGAATATGGCTAGATATTAAAATACCTTATAAGTCGCTGCTGTTTGCGTATTCACCTTAAAGGTTATATTTTGTTTTGCATTGCAAAAATTATAAAACTAAAAAATTTAGGATGTTGCGTAAAAAATTGTAAAAGGAGTGCGTTGAAATAGAAAAATAAATATTCAGTATTTAATTCGAAAATTATCAACTGTTAAGTTTGTAGTCAATAAAATCAAGTAGGTCAATTTACTGTTCGCAAAAATGCTTTTTTTCTTCTTTTTTTTTTTTGGAAATTATTGTAGTTCTAAGTGCTTTTTTCCACCAGTTTTTATTATTAATTTAATTATTTATTTATCTATTGCTTTAAACCAAAAGATTTTTTTTTCTCTTTGCATGATTTAAGGGTTTTATTTTTCACAGAATAGATTTATCTTGCGTTCCTCTTTTGGGAACTAATCACTACTTGAAAGCTTAATTATTTTATACTATAAATAATTTATATATTATAAATAATTTACAAAATTAAGATGTTTGTATCCACACTAATATATTATTGTTATAAATATCCTCTTATTAAACTGTAATCATTCTATTTAAATTATTTCCTCTTTGTTTCAGTTAAAATGTCTTACCACTTTTTTTTAAAAAGAGATCCTCAACTAAAAAATTTTGCATTTACGCCGCATTGTCAGGGTTCGTGATTTTTTTGAATTTTTAAAGAAAACTTTTTTAAAAAAAATTGATTTTTTTTTAAAAAATAAAAAAAATCCGATTTTTTTTATTTAAATCGGAATTTTTTTGATTTAAATCAGATTTTTTTGGATTTTTATTCAAATACAGGGTCTGTTGAGGTTTTTCTGAGAGCCTCAACAGACCCTGTTGGTGAAGAGTATTTCGTGAAAATTTAGACATAATTTGTGAAAATAAAAAATTATATTAAAAAATCAACACAAAAATATTGTAAAAATATGTATTTATCGTTTCTTACGAGACACAAAAATAAAATTTTAAGAAAAAATATTTTGTGAAATTATTCTACAGTTTTTCCTAAAGTTGAATTTGTGAAGGTACCGCTAAACGGTAAAAAATTTGACTTGAACAGGCGCCTGCGCTTTAACTATTAAAGCAAAGTTTCAATTAGCAAACCATAATTTTAATTTAAAATTGTGATTTCTTTTTTTTTCCTCTTGATTTTTAAAATGACAAAATAAATGTAACAGATTGTGTTTATCATCAAAAAATAAATAAATATTTAATCTTTATATTTTTATATTAAAATACTCATTTTTAATCCTACATCAATAAAATATAATGTAGATTTTAATTCAATCAAAAGGTAGAATTTTAATTAACATTACTTGAATTTTTTTTTTGAAAAAAATTTATGTTTATTAATTACTTTCTATAGACATGCAAGTCTATATTAAGACAGCATTAAATGTTTACTTTAATCTGTACTTTCAATCTCAAGAATCAATAGATATTTAAAAATGTAATTTCAAATGTGTTGGAATTTAACACGCATCAAGAAAGAAAGTAATTTCGTTAACTAAAATTAATTAATGTAACAATTTATTTAAAATAAATTTTAAAACTAAGAAAAGAAAATACAGTCAAACCCCGCTATAGTGAACATGGTTTATAGTGAACTCCCGGATATAGTGAACGAAATGTTCGGTACCGTGCCTTGCTATACACGTATAATGTAATTTTTTGTGGATATAGTGAACCAAAAAAGTGAGGAAGTTGGATATAATGAACTTTTTTCTGTCATCGACTGATTTTTTTTCCATTTTTTTTTGTTTTTTTTTTGTAATAATTTTGAAATTTCTACTTCAAAATAAATACATAGACCGATTCCTAAAACCATCTATAGAGGGGAATTAAGCGATAAGCATTTTCTCTTGTTTGCTTCTCTTATCTCACTTTCCCATCCCTAAATGGGTCTGGTTCATTTCATCGACAATCGCTTCATCGACAGGCCGTTTCATCGACACCACTTCATCGACAGGCCATTTCATCGACTAGGTCATTTCGTCGACAGGCCGTTTCCTCGACAGGGTTGTTTCATCGACAGGTCACTTCGTCGACAGGGTCATTTCGTCGACAAGTCATTTCGTCGACAGGATCATTTCATCGACAGGGTCATTTCGTCGACAAGGTCATTTCATCGACAGAGTCATTTCGTCGACAGGGTACTTTCATCGACAGGGTTATTTCGTCGACAAGTCATTTCGTCGACAGGGTCATTTCATCGACAGGGTCATTTCGTCGACTAGTCATTTCATCGACAAGGTCATTTCGTCGACAAGGTAATTTCATCGACAGGGTAATTTCATCGACAGGGTCATTTCGTCGACTAGTCATTTCATCGACAAGGTCATTTCGTCGACAGGATCATTTCGTCGACAGGGTCATTTCGTCGACAAGTCATTTCGTCGACAGGGTCATTTCATCGATAAGGTAATTTCATCGACAGGGTCATTTCGTCGACAAGTCATTTCGTGGACAGGGTCATTTTATCTACAGGGTCATTTCGTCGACAAGTCATTTCGTCGACAGGGTCATTTCGTTGATAGTGTCATGCGTAATTCTGAAACTATTTTAGAGATTTAATCTAAATATTTCTATTATTAATTAGAAAAATGCAATTATTTAATTTTCATGCTAAAGTAGAATTCTTTATGGCTGTGTATTGTTCCAATTGGACTAAAAGAAGTTCGCTTTTTAAATTAATTAATAGGTAGTTGAGAAGTGTTTAAACGGTTGATGTATCGAAATCTACTTTTCTATTTCTAAATCGTAATAGTAGCTCGTCACTTATTTTCGGGATCGGTAAGGATCGTCTTCAGAACATTACCAAGCATTATATCTGGACCGTGGTCAACAGTTAATATAGTGTGACGTTAGCAATCAAATTGTTTTTAATATCAAATCAAATTAATAAAATATATTCTTAGAATTAAAAGTAATTAAAATATATTACAATGAACATTTAGACACTATTTCAAGGAAGGGAAAGCTAAATTTATTGCTGTAAAAATTTTCAACATTTTTACATAAATTTTAACAAAAACATAGACTTCAGTCGAATTCTCACAGAAATTAAAATAATCATAGACCTAATTATTATATCTGCATAAGTAGAAAAAAAATTCTAGGTTTTTTATGATGGAAAAGTAATTTCTTAATATTCACTTTAATTGCACTAAATTCACTTTAATTGCTTAATTAAACTTTTTGTTCAGCATCTTTAACATTAGGACAGGAATATGCTTATTCGAACAATCGAACTGAGTCTTAGTTTCGTTACTACTATTATAGATTTCGAAGAACAATAGGAATGCAAACTTGATGTTTAGGTATTTACCGAGGCGATTGTAGATACCTACAA